ACATAGTGTTCTCTAGAGAATGTACAAAACGTTGTCAAACACTATAGAAATCTAAAGGTTGTGCTTTCAAAGTTTTAAATTTTTTTTCTGACCATTGTTCTCATCATGCTAGTGGTATTTTTTAAGGAATACACGATCTTGCAAATCTTACACTATCTTAATTATTGCATAATATAACTCGTATCAATTCTAAATTGAAAATTTATTATCAAACATTCTTCTCTTGAAATCTTTTAAGGATTGAGGTAACATTCATGGATATTTTGAATGGTTTTCAGAGTACGATTTAGTCTCATTTACATTGACTTCAAATTGTTAAAAGAGGGATTAAGATAAGCTACTAAAAGTAAGTCAATAGAGATTATTACTTTTATGATTGCTAGGGTATAATCATTACTTTACTTGTATCACAAATGAAATAGTTAGCATGTATTTGAAATATATTTTGTAATGTGGTCAGTCTTACATATTTTTTATATATGTATATGTATATCTATCTTAATAATAATCAAATCAAATAAAAAATATTTAAGACAAAGTTATAAATATGCAATAAGAGTGATTGTTTTATTTATTTCCCCATCCACTCCATCAAAAGACATACAACTAAGGAGGTAAATTAGTTCTATGTGAAATTTTATCTCAAGAATAAACTAACCATATTTTCTGTTTTTATATAAAGATTGACACAAACAATGGTAAGATATAGAAATGGCTTCTTTAATTTTCAAAATAGTTTTGAAAGATAACAACAACAATTCAACTTATGTACAGCAAGTAGTCATCTTTGGGCAAATGGAAGGCCAAAGTAATTATACATCTTCTCTATATTTATTTATATATTCATGGTTGTGTGTAGAGCAAGGAATATTGCAAATTTTGTGAACTACTGGGGACAAAATATTACACTTGATTCATTTGAACTTATGCATATACCACAAAGCTATATTCTAAAGTCTTTCCAATAATATTATCTAAATAACAACCGACTTACATTTTCACAAGGAGAAGTGGCTAATGTTTTTAGCACTCTTATCTCAACAGCAAACTTTGGTAATCATCAATCACGAGCATTTTAGCATTGCTATGACTACATTCTTGTGTTATGCAATATAGATTCATAAAACTATGTCAACCATAAGCTTATGAATATGTTTGATCCATAATATCTTTTCATAATATATATTGTGTGTAAGTTTAACTAGCAAATCAAAAATCAATGACAAGCATACAATAGCTTACTCAACATCATTAAATCTAATTATGCTATCTACAATATCAACACATATGATTATTAAATTGCTAGATTTTCTTATATTCTTTTTTCCTTTTATGTATTTCTTTGATTTAATTGAATGCACTTCTCTTGGAAGTTTATTTGGAAGAACACCTAACCAAATGAATCTTTTGGTAGCATGGATTCATTTGTTGTTAACTTTTTACATAGTTGGGCCAACCAAAGCACAAACATTTTTCATATCTTGTTTATTTTGTTTTGGTAATTTAGATATTTGTTAAGAAATATGGCAAAACTTTTGCAAGTTTGGTTTGGATTGCTCTTGCTCCTCCATGCTCCTACCTACTCCATACTCTCAACTTTCTTTTATTTGGGTGGTTTGCAAGTGCCCAATAAAAAGTAGGAGACTAGTGAATATAGATTATGTTGTTTCTCCCAATTTTTTATCGTGTGTTTATCTCCTATGCTAGCCTTAATGTTGTTTGGGCTATTTATTTTGTTTTTAGCTCTTTTCCCAGCTCCATTAATTCTTTTTTTTTTTCCTTTTTTTCCTTGTTATCTTTCTTTTCTTGAGCAAAATAAAAAGCAATCTTATATATCATTTGTGCAACCAAGGGAATGTTATATTGAATGAAGTCAGAAAATAGCCTAACACTGTGCCATGTAAGCCCATTTTAATCAAGTTTACCTGGTAGAACTCTTTGCAATCCCCTTCCAAGCTTTGTTACTTCAGAAAGGCAGTCATCACATAAGTCTCATATATGGTTCACTTTGTGTGCAATGGCCAGTGATATGCTTACTAGGAAGGAAGTTCCCAGTCTTACAGAAATTAGATATAATCCATACTAAATTAGTGCAAACTAGAAAAGTTTCGATCAAGAATCCAAGAGAGAGTGGTCTCTTTCGTCTCTCGGCAAGCCACTCAAGCCTCTGGCTATGCTCCAAAGTTCCAGTGCCTAAGAAATGCAAAGGCATAGATTCTTCAAGTTTTGCTCCTCAATACAAACTTTATGTGTGGGACAAACGCTTTCCACCAGGAAGGATGGCCAATAGCGAATGCTCAAGGATAGATGGGAAGGTGGTAAACAGGAGTACAAAAAATTACATTGCTCTACTTCTATAAAGTAGATATAGGACTATGCCATCTTGCGGAGGTTGCTGGAATCAAAACAGATAAAGGTGAGGGAATTGTAGCTATGTACTTGTGGATGCATTCTTTTTGGAATTGGCACTCACGCACTCTACTATCACTGTCTAGAGACATATCCAATGACAAATAGTTTTTCTGGGGAGCTCAGGTGACCTACATCATAGCTTGTTGCAGAAAATTTGGATTTCAGCATAATCATGGTCCTCACTGCTCTCTCAACTTCTTCTCAATCGTTGCAGGTGCGTATCATTTACTTTTATCCAGAATTTCTGAACCATGGACAAAAGGAGGTGCTACCACCTCGGCTTACGCAACAAAGACTGCAGTGTACGGATGCGGTAATAATTCGCTAGCATTCAGTGTAGCGGGAACCAAAACTGGTCTACTTAATAACTAGTTATCAGTAGAGAAACAACTGGCTGGTTTAACCTTTCAGGGGAAAGGTTTTTTCAGTCCAACATCCTAGAATACATCAATGACTCTTGGTCTTTAGATTCAATGTTACTGTAGCTACTGATATTTGTTCTTGCCTTTGTTGACACCAAAGATATGTTTGTGCAATCCTCCAAGCTAAGCGGTGGTGGTGGTAAGCTTGTCCCTTCTGGAGAATCGAAGGCGCAGAAACTCGAAAGTAGGGTCTCCAGTAACTCTACACAAGTTCCCAACAGTGACGAAGATGGTCTTCCGGCTGCCAACATCACTACCGGAGTACTATGGACCTGATCATTGTGGGCAGCTCTCAGTGGTTCTTCATCCAGTTTTTCTTCATGAAAACTGAAAGCCAATCAGCCCCATCTACAGAGGAGACGATATTAGCTGTGAAGAAATAAACAAGAGCAACGGGGACTTCCGCAACAGATCGCTTTCTTGTGTCATGACAACCTCATCCAGCTCCACGGCCCACACAACAAAATGCTCGTTTACAAGTTTCTCCCAAACGTTCTCTTCGAAGACAAGGAGGACAACCGGCTTGACTGCTCTTTGGGTTGCTCGGGGTGTTGCATATCTCCACCATGTTCCAATGAAGTTTGCAGGTTTTAGGTTATCGGGGAGTCGCAATCCACACCGTTGGATCGTTTGAGCCAAATGATCCAGCCACTATTGCTGGCCGTTCTTTCCAGGTTTGTTGTGTCTAGTTTTCTCTACAAGCTCTTGTTTTTTTCTCTTTTTCTTTAGGGAATCCTCGCTGGCAATTGTCCATCCAAGCTGCTTCTTTCTAGGTTTGTTGTGTTTCAGGAGGTCAAGAAGGCCAAATCTCAAGGAGACAGCCAAAGATTCCCCTATCTAACTGTGCAAGCATTTTTTTTCTCTTGTCTTTACTGAGTTTGCTAGTGCATGTTGAGTTTCGTCTCTTAGCTCTGCTGTGGACGCTTTTTCCAGTGATGAAAACCAGATCATCTCTAGGAATTCTCTCAGGTGTGCAGTGTTTTAAATTGGATGGATTTGATCTTTTCCTGTTTTACTTTGTTTAGGGGGTATCGATTGAGTGAAGGTTACATATCCATATGTAGCAGTTAGAAAGGCAGACTGAGAGCATGGAGGATATCCAATGGACAGGTTTTGCTACGAAAGAAGTGTAAGTTTTATATTTGTCTCAGGCTTTGTAATATTGTTTTTCTTTGCGTAATTTCTAGGGACGAAGGGCCTACTTTCCTCAGCTTGAGGGTGGAGGCAGCTTTTCCCTCTTACCTAAAGGGTATGCACTTGGAAGAGGTGTAGCAAGCATATCAACGGATGAAACTAAATATTTGGTTTCTACCAAATGGTGCCAAACCAGAATTCACTAACACAAGCAAAGACACGTTTTGGGTCACTCATGGACGGTAAGTTTTCCTTTTGTTTTTTTTTTTAATTTTTTTTTTATTCAGAAATGTTATATTAGATAACATCCCAACTGCAATCAACCATCATTTCTTTTTTTATTGCCTTCCAGACAAATTTAATGACAGGCCGGCAATGGACTAATTTATCACAAGATATTCCTTTTTGTGTTTATATATAAATTAATATTTTTTTGCTTTTATTGAAGTCTTTTTTGTACAGATCGTGCCAAGCAATGGTTATTTCTAAGTTTAGGGTAGTGTAAACTCCTAAATTTGAACTTCCCGGGAGGTCCTTTTTTTTATAAATAATATATAGGAGCCCTGATGCTATAAGCACTTTGATGATAGCTTGCTTTTTAGTCTTCGTCTCATCCTTCTAAAGTTAGCACTAGCTCTGGGAACGTGAACTGCCATGGAACTCCCGAGATGGAATCGATGAGCTCGTTACTCGTGTTCTTCTGTTTTGCAAGTAGAGCAGTGCAACTGGAGCCGGGACAAGCATAGAGATGGGCAGTGTAAGGCTCAGTAGCAGTTTCCATAAGGTGCTCTGTGTGAACTGGCCATAGCAGATTGTCCAGTACTTCCCGGAAGTCGTGGAGAAAACAATGTTCCTAAGACCAGGCTCGGTCTGTTCTTGAATGAAATCATCTTATCAATGAGGTGATCGATCCTTTCTGTCAGGCAAAGGAAGATTAAACCAATCAGTCTTGGTCGCGGGGCCACGAGTAGTAACTTTGAAATCCTTGGTAACTTTTAATCCTTAGATACCTCGCTAACTTTTAGTGCCGTGTTGACCTAAAAGAGGCGAGCGATAATATTTGCTCGAGGCGCTGGGCGTAGGCGCCGATCGGGTGAGGTTTTTCGCGATTTTGTGCGCAGCGCATTCGTGCTTTGATGATCTCCAGCAGTAGAGATTCTAAAAGAATGGAGCTGCCTGTGTTGTGTCTTTGGATTTTAGGGGTTTTAGAGGAGAAATGGCCACCGTCGTGGCGCCTTGCCAGAGACCAGGGCTTAGTTTCGTCTTGGCCGTCTCCTCGCGACTGTCATTAGCCACCAGAGCTTTCCCGGTGCTTTATTTCTTCTTGCTTCAGATTCTTCTTTTTGTTCTCTCTCGGTTCTTCCTTTTCATGTCAATTTTACTTCCTCTAATTTGCTACTTGCTTTTGCAGGCAAGGAGCTTCACTCGGTACTGTAAATCCAGTTCCACGTTTGCCTTGTCTTCGAAATTCAAGGTAGATGTTGCAAGCATTGTTTATGGTTCTCATCTTCGAACAAAAACTGTAGGAACTTGGTTGCGTGCGTGGAAGCCGATTGAAATTGCCGGTACTTTTTTTTTCTTTCATTTTCGTGAAGCTTACGGACTAACACATGTCGTGAACTGTAGCGTGCTTTTGCAGGGTCTAGCCAATTCTCCACAGTGAGTGTTGGAGCTTCTCCTGTAGCTGAAGAGATGGCTGTCAAGGAGGCTCCCAAGGAGATTTTTTTGAAGGATTACAAGCCCACTGGCTATCACTTTGACACGGTAACGCACCGTACTACTTGGATGCTGATTTCGTTTTTTCCACCCAGGTCGAGCTGAAATTTGTTCTGTCTGAGAAAAAGACAACCGTGGTGTCTAAGATCCGGGTTTTGCCGAGAAACTCAAGTATTTTCTTTTTCACTTTCGTTGTTTCGTTCGCTATCTTGGTAGTCATTAACCAGAAGCCATGCAGGTGAAAGCCCGCCATTGGTTTTGGATGGTCGTGACGTGAAACTTCTCTTTGTTAAAATCAACGGCGAAGAACGGAAGCTGGAAGAAGTTGAGCTGACCAGCCGTCATCTGACGTTGAAGTCACTTCCTGTTCAGCCTTTTGATTTAGAGATTGGCTCTGAGATACACCCGGAGACTAACTTGTCTCTCGAAGTAAGTGGGATCAAGTTTTTTTAGTATGGTTACTTTTTTTTCTCCAACAGGGGCTCTACAAGTCTTCCAGCGGCATGTTTTGTACACAATGCGAAGCTGAAGGTTTTAGAAAGATAACCTTTTACCAGGTCTTTTTTGTGACAATGTTTGGCTGACATTCTGGCGAGCTATTACAGGATCGGCCAGACGTTATGGCAAAGTTCACTACCAGGATAGAAGCGGACAAAGCACAGTATCCCGTTCTTTTGTCGAATGGCAACCTTATAGACTCCGGAGACCTCGAGGTTGGCATTGTTTCTTCACTGGCATTGTGTAGAGCCTGACGTGCTGTGGTCAGAATGGATTTCATTATGCTGTGTGGGAGGATCCTTTCAAAAAGCCTTGCTACCTCTTTGCCTTGGTAGCGGGGCAACTCACGTCCAGAGACGATACTTTTAAAACGCGTTCAGGAAGGGATGTTCAACTGAGGATTTGGACTCCTGCACAAGACGTCCCAAAGACAGAGCATGCTATGCATGCTCTCAAGCTTTCAATGAAGTGGGATGAGGATGTAAGTAGAAGTCTTTTTTCTCTCTCTGTCTCTTTTATCTCAACTTCGCACAGGTGTATGGGTTGGAGTATGATCTTGACCTGTTTAACATTGTCGCTGTTCCCGATTTCAACATGTAAGATGCCGTTGTTTTTGTTCGTTTTTGGTAACTGATGCATGGTGTAGGGGTGCTATGGAGAACAAGAGCTTGAATGTGAGTCTCTTTTTTGCTGTTGTATTCACTTAATTTTTCTATTCGTATCAGATATTCAACTCGAAACTTGTTCTGGCATCTGCTGAAACTGCTACAGATGTTGACTACGCGGCAATTTTGGGTGTGATCGGTCATGAGGTTGGTCTGAATTAGAGGTTCTACAACCACTAACCTCTACGTTTGCTTTGCAGTACTTCCACAATTGGACTGGGAATAGGTACGTCGTCGCATTGTCACTGCTTTAGCTATAGTCATGTAATACAGGGTGACATGCCGTGATTGGTTTCAATTGAGTCTGAAGGAGGGTCTTACAGTTTTCAGGGATCAGGTGCGTATAGTTTTTGCGTTGGTTTCTTTGTGTACTGAAATGCCAAGTTACAGGAGTTTTCTTCTGATATGGGCTCTCGACCTGTCAAACGTATCGGTGATGTCGCTCTTCTCAGAACAGCACAATTCTCAGAGGTACCAGAGGTTTTTTCCTTCTTCTTTCTCTTCAAATCACACTGACCTTGTTGTCCGCAATAGGACGCTGGTCCCATGGCGCACCCTGTCCGTCCGCATTCTTACATTAAGGTACTCCTCATTTGCAAAAACTCTTACTAAAAAAGAGCTTATTTGCAGATGGACAACTTCTATACGGGTATGAGCTTTAGAATTGTAGTTTTCCCGCGACTGACATTTTGTTATCTGTCCTTCATATTTACGTAGTGACGGTAAGAAGTTCGAAAACGATATTGTTAGGCGTCTTAATTCTACGTCTATGTCTACAGGTGTATGAAAAGGGTGCGGAAGTCGTTCGCATGTACCAAACATTGCTTGGGAAAGATGGGTTTCGGAAGGTTTGTGTTCAGTATCTTATATCTTTGCAGACGGTGTTGCACAGGGCATGGACTTGTACTTTGAACGCCACGACGGACAAGCTGTAACTTGCGAGGATTTCTTTGCTGCTATGCGAGACGCTAATTCCGCCAATCTTTCAGTTTTCTTGAGATGGTAAGCTAATGCACAAGTGTTCACCTGCCTGACCATGTTCTTACAGGTATTCTCAAGCTGGAACACCCATTCTTACTGTTTCGACAGCGTATGATGCTGCAGCTCGTAGCTATACTGTAAAGTGCAAGTAAGAGGTGGCCTTTCTATTCTTTATTTCTCCTGCGTTTTCTCCTTAGGCAAGAAATTCCTTCTACACCTGGGCAACCTGTGAAGGAGCCGACGTTAATACCATTGGCTGTGGGTCTACTAAATTCAAAAGGCGAAGACATGGTGTTGACCGAGTTGCTTGATGGAGGATCACTCAAGTCATTGAAAGACACAGCGGGGGGACCTGCAAAGACAGCCGTACTTGTTGTTGATAAGGTGAGGGTGCATCTTGTTTGGTTTTGGTGTTCTAACCAGTGTACTTTTGCAGGAAGAGCAAGAGTTCACTTTTCTCAATTTGCCTGAGAAACCTGTGCCATCTTTCCTAAGAAACTTTAGTGCTCCCGTGCGCCTTGTGACGCCGACTGTGACGGATGACGATTTGCTCTTTTTGCTCGCGCATGACTCCGACGAGTTTAACAGATGGGAGGCTGGACAGACGATGGGAAGAAAACTTATGCTGGATCTTATTCCGAAAGCACAAAGAAACGAACAGCTCGCGGTTCCATCCGCATTTGTGGAAGGCATGCGCAGTATTCTCAACGATTCCTCGTTAGATAAGGCATGTTTTTCTCATGCTTCTAGGCTCTAGCTGACGGACATATTACAGGAATTTGTGGCAAAGGCACTAACACTTCCTGGAGAAAGCGAACTGATGGACTTGATGGAGGTTGCAGATCCAGATGCAGTACATACTGTCCGAAAATTTGTGATAAGAGAGCTTGCGTCGAAACTGAAGCAAGATTTCCTGAAAACTGTGAGTATAGACTTATCGTGTTTGTTTCTGCCATGACATCCGTTTTCTGATGCAGGTGACTGAAAACCGAAGTTCTGATCCGCACTACACATTCGATCACAAAAACAAAGCCAGGAGATCCTTAAAAAACCTCGCTCTCGGTGAGTCGCTTCCTTGATAGTTGTTCTCTTAGAGTTGAGTGCGTGATTTGCAGGCTACCTCTGCTCTCTGGACGAGGCGGACACTACTGAGCTTGCTTTGAAGGAATACAAAAGCGCAACAAACATGACAGATCAATTTGCAGCCCTCTCGTCACTTTGCCAGAATCCTGGGGACGTGCGTGATGAAGCTTTGGCAAACTTCTACGAGCAGTGGAAGGACGAAACTTTGGTAAGAATTTCCTTTGCTTCTTTTTTCATGGAGACTGAGCAAAAACATGCAGGTTGTGAACAAATGGCTGGTGTTACAATCTATGTCTGATATCCCTGGAAATGTTAAGAACATGAGGCGATTGCTAGATCATCCGTCCTTCGATATGAAGAACCCAAACAAGGTTCCGTGTTTCAGATCACCTTTCTCAGGAGCTAAAACATCCCTTGCTACACAGGTGTATTCTTTGATCGGTCCTTTCTGTCGGACCGCTGTCAACTTTCACGCTAAAGATGGCTCTGGCTACGAGTTTCTGGCAGAGGTGACTTTGCAGTTGGACAAAATGAACCCTCAGGTAACTCGCAAGCACACTTTCTTCGTATCTTAACTTCGTCCTCACAGGTGGCATCGCGAATGGTATCGTCATTGTCGAGGTGGAAACGCTTTGATGAAGGCAGACAATCGCTGGCTAAGGTTAAGCAGTGTTTGTTTTCCAGGTCTTCTCTTCTCAAATGTGTGTGACTTTGTCCTTGTAGGCTCAACTGGAACGCATTGCTAAAACCGATGGCCTGTCAGAGAATGTGTTTGAGATCGCCTCCAAGAGCCTGGCAGCGTAAAAAAGATCCAAGGAGTTCGCGATCGTAAGCTCGTTGTTGCATTCTTCTTGATAGATATACAAGCTATTTGCTTGGGAAAAATCACACCTTTTCAGGTCGAGCAAGCATTTGCCATAAGATAGTATACAGCTTCACCACTCAGCTCCTCAAAAGCCACCTCAATTCTTCCACTTTCTACAAGCCGCTGGTGCCACGCCAACGGAGAAATCACCACCGCTTCGTCTAGACATCGTCCTCGCGAGCTTCACTCATCTCGTCCGCCCGGCTCAAGATATCCGTCCTCCATCCCGGGACGAACACATACCGGCACTCTCGGCTTTGATCAACAAGACCACCACCACGCTCAAGCCGCAAGCCTTCGTCCGTGGTCCTGTGGAACATCTCGAGCACCAGTTTGTTATCACCTCGGCAACCATAGCCAGCCAAGAGCGCGCTCTAGGAGCTGCGAGCTTGCATCAAAAGCGCAGCGAGCATCGACCATGTTCCTGTAGAAGTCAACGAGAGAGACCACCACCCCCGGGTCGACTTCCAGGCCGTGTCAACATGCATCGCCATGGACGAGCTTCCCCGTCTCGAGCAGCGCCGCGGGGCCACTCCCGCAAGCTTTGATCGCCGCGGACAGAGCAGCTTCCACTCGTCAACTTTCATCTGAGAGAACAAAGCTGGCGCGAGCTGCGACTCACCGGCATCGGCACAGGCGACGATGAGCGAAGTCCACAGCACTGGATCGCGCTGCTCGATCCGGTCGTAGACTCTCCTTGCCTCGATCAAGCTCCCGGATTTGGAGTAGCAGTCGACGAGGCTGCTCGCCACCCGGGGATTCAAGTCGAAGCCACGCTCGGACGCTTGCGAGTGCAGCGAGGCCGTGCTCCTCCGCATGACGAGCAAGTTGGGCTTGATCTCCGGGCTTCTCTCGATCGATGCTAGACTCGCCAAGGCCTTGAGCGGAGGAACGAAGGATCCAGCGTCTAGACCACAGCCCTCGAGCTGCATGAAGGGGAAGAGCAGCACCACCATGCCGGCTTGCTTGTTCTCGCAGTAGCCCAGCATCAAGGAGTTCCAGAACACAAAAGCTCCTCAAGCTCCCACACGTACGTGTCCAACAGAACACGTCGAGCTCGCAGCCATTCCTCGCGGGTTGATTGTGGACGACCATTCCCTGCTCGAGCGCCATAGCTTTTAGCTTGAGATCACGAGCTTCTTCTGAGCTTGCGAGATGAGCGCAGGCGGCGACAAAGATTCACCAGATCCATAAGGCCTTGAAAGCTGCTTGAGCATCCGGCTCGCAGCTCGGCTATAGCAGAACAAGCCGAGAGCGTTCTCTTCACTTCCATTCTTTGATCTCGCTCCACCACTTTCAGCATTCAAGTTCTTTGATCTCGTTCCACCGTTCTTGGCTTCATCCAAGTCATATGTTGGAAAATGGGCTTCGACAGACTCCTGCCACGCCTTGGTTGTCAGCTTTACTTCAATATCGATTCTATGCTTCATCTAAATTCTTCAACCACTTCCACCATTCATTCATTTCATCCAAGTTCTTTGATCTCGTTCCACCGCTTCCACCGTTCTTCACTTCGCTTCATCCAACTTCTTTGATCTCGCTCCCACCACTTTCACCATTCTTGGCTGCATCCCAGTTCTTTGATCTAGCCCCACCACTTCCACCATTCTTCGCGTGGCCCAGGATCAAGGAATTTTAAGCCACGGCACTGCGATGATCCAATGCTCGTCACGCGTGCATTTGGGATGAGAGCGTAGAGATTGGAGGCTCCACAGCTCCAATGTGGACGATGTCCATCTTGGGCACATTCCTTGAGTTCTTCGAGAACGACCAAGACTTTGCTCGTGGATGATGCGTCATTCCCCCGAGAGAAGGCCCATTCATAGAAGAAGAATTTGCTGCGTCCGGGCGCTGGGTGTGTAACGTCAACGGTGTGCGCCCCTGGGTGGAATTCAAGCACGCTCATGCAGAGTGGCTCAAGTCCAATCCACCCACAGAGCGGGCAATTGGGGAGCAGCTGGAAATCGCTGGCACTCTCAAGGTATTTCTCCGGTTTGCTGCCCAAAACTTCCTCCACCCTGGGGAACCAACACAATTGGCCAGCCGGACCTCTTTGTCGCGCAACCGATCGGCCTCTTCTCGTTGGGATTGTCGACTGTGATCACGCTATACAAGATGTTGTAAGGTCTGGCTTGGTTTTCCTTGTTCTTTGCACTCATCCAAGTGTTACAGGAGGCTTTTCACATACATGCTGCTCACCGGTGCTTCCTTTGGTGTTCTGGTGGATGGTGAATCCATCCGGTATGCCAAGATAAGTAGAGGAGACACGCTACTTTCCGCTCCAGTTTCATCATGGTGGGCTCTCGGGTTTGTTCTTCAGCTGGCAAGAGACGATCCCCAGCAGTCGATCGGAGATAACAACAAAGGTCATCTCATGCAGGGGCGATCATTCATGGCATGAAGAATCTCAGCTTTCTCTTGCAAGTGGCCGAGAGACGCTAAGTCATCCGTCGTCTCCGCGAAGTACAAACAGCAGCCCGTGGTTCTCAAGGTGCGGGACTTGACTAATCCCTGGCTTCTGGACGTGGAGACGAACCTCCGGAAGGTCATCACCGAGGTGGACGCGTACAAGACGCTCCACAAACTGCAGGGAGTTCAGATACCACGCCTCGTCTCGTGGGGCTTCTTGTGTGGGACAATGTTCGCCTACGTGATGACCAGCGACGAAGGTTGGCCTCTGAGTAGCTACTTGACGTTTAGCGTGCGAGACATACAAGCAGCACTTGCTCCTGCCTATGAGGCTCTTGCCAGGATTCAGGCCAGGGGTCTCATCCACGGGGACTTGGTGCCTCTCAAGATCCTCGTCAGGAGAGAAAGCCGCAGCAGCCAGTCTTCTTGGGTGACGATCATCGGCTTCTCAACTGCCTCTTACGTCGGCCCCAAGGAGATCCATGTTTCTGCAGGGAGGGAGATGGCTAAGCTTCAGCAATGTTTCGAGGAGGTCTTGATGTTCGTTCGGGCGGAGGAGGACATGGCAGTGGATCGCTTCCTCCTTGCCTTGCGGAAGAGCTCATCGATTGTCTTCCACAAGTTCCCCAAGATTTGTGATCTTCTCAACGCGTACGTGTGTGTTCCTGATGCAATCAATCGTTACATGTGTGCTTGGTTTTCAGGTTGGGTGCTAACCTGCAAGGAGATGACGAGTCATCACCCAAGACGGACGAAGCGTCTGAAGCATCTGAAATGTAAGCGCACGTCTCTCTTCCTGCCGTGTTTATCCGTTTTGATCCGTGCTTTCAGGTTATCTCGCTACTTCAAAGAGTATGTGGTGGTCGATGCATTGACGACTCCAGTTGACAACCCCAAGCTCCTTAAAAAGGAGCCTCGCTTCGATGAGCTCAGGAGGTTCCTGGCAGAAAGGAGGCAACTGAGTAGTTCAGGTGGAGTGAAACTGGATTTCATACTAGGAAAGTTGAAATTTATACATAAATGTTTTAATTATTATTCCATTAGTGGTTTAACAAATCTTAAATTTTGCTATAATTAGAAATGGATTTTAAACATAACTTTCTTATTTGTTTTTTCACATTTGTTTCCACTTGTTCTTACAATATATAAAATTCTTAGTCAAAGTTTGGACAAACACTCATGACTATATTCTATCTTAAATTTAATATAGATTAATTATAACACTTAATAGTTTATTTCATCTTTCATTTCTTCTCATTTCACTTCCTTTTACATTATTTTTTCCTCCCTTGCCTCTTTTTTTTTTACAATTTTACAGTTTGATACTTTAAAGTTGGATGGTTTGGAATTGGATAAGTTAAAATTGGTTGGCTTGGAGTTTCAAATTTAAGGATTTAGTTTAAAAACTTGGAACTTTTATCTTTAAAAGTGTTTCATTTGGTTATGTACAATCCACCATGCTTTGTATCAGATATCAATCTTAGCAATAAAATCGGATTTAAAGACCTTAAATATAAACAAACCTTTAAATAAATAGAAAAAGGATGCATTATTATTAAACTTTAAATTGTTCTCTTTAGTATAACTAGATTGAATAAAAAACCCTATTTATAATGAGGTTGGAATGGAAAATGAAGCATAATTTGTGATGGCCAATCTAATTCTCTTGAAATCCTCTTCTATTTTTCCATTATAGCTCATAATACTCATGTTTGTTTTTTAGTAAAATGAAATGTAAAAAAAAGATGTTTTAAAATTTCCCTCCAACTTAAGTGTCTAATTTATGGGGTTACAAATTCCATATTATGCTAGCTATTGGAATACCTATATCTGTGCATTAGGCCATTGGTATATTAACTCTATTTTTTGTGTTAGCTTTGGCATTGAGTGTTACTCTGTGATCTTCTTTTTTCGCTCATTAACTATATGCTAAAAAATTTGGTAATTAAAATAATTAAATTAAATTTAGCAATCTAAGTTTTTACTTTGAGTTAACAAGATTAATGTTAGCCTATTAATAATTATTATGAGTTATTATGAGTGTCTTTGAAGCGCTTTTCTTGTGATTATACACCTCACTTGGGCATACATCCCTTTGTAAGCATCTACATCATTGTCAACTTTACAATCTGTGCATCACCAGTTTGCAAGCATTATGTGAATTTTTTCCTCGCCAGTGAACTGTGTGATCTTCTCAGGGAGTCAATAATATTTCTTGGACTAAGATCCAGTTCTGCCAGCTTATTCACTTGGGCATGCTGAGCCAGGTTTTCGACTGGAGGTAATATGCACTAGGAGTTGACGAAGAAAGGTTACCTGGTGGAAGGAGGAAGAAAAATATCTTGCATTGTGAAAAATGAGATCTCACTTCGTTTTTCTACAATAAGAAAAAAAGAGTTTCTTTGCAAAACAAGATATATACCAGTCTGCAGCTAATGCCAATTACAGCTGCTCAGGAACAGGGCGATTGCAAGAGATCCAGCAAGTTGCACAGAAGGGAAAGCTTTGGTTTCTGCAACAAGAGCCCAACGATCGGTCATGTTCAGAGTAGTTTCAACAAACAAACCTTGTGAGCTAGAGCAAACGGCTCTTGAGCACATAAGAATGGAACCTTGGTCACTTTAAAGAGGCACGTACTCCAGAATGACAGTCAGAAAGCGTAGGTTGTCAAAGGATGCCTGCAGGGAGAAAGAGCGTGAAAAAACGATAATCATTCCAAACAACTCACAGCTTTGGAAAACTCGAGCTCGTGTTCTACGCATAATTGTTTTGCAATCTCCCGTGATCAACATCACTCAAAATGTTATTCGTGAAAACGAGAGACTTCGATCAAAGCTGAGATAACAAACAAAAGATCTTCCTTACGATCGAAATTCGATCGGCGAAAGTCTCCTGCCCGAGCACCTACATTAACATTAAAACATCCACCGATAATTTGCTCACTTGCTGGTAGCTGCTCGTTTTATTTCATCTAATGGTTGCTCATATAGATTTGTCTGTGCTCGAGCTTTTTCTGCTTACACCAATGAAGCCTCTGGAGAACAAAGAGCGTGACGCTAGCTCCGTTTTCAAAGGTACAGTGTCAAAACCTTTCCTGGCAGACCAGCTCGGCCGCTGCGTCCTGCAATACGAAAGCTGGTTTTATGAAGATGGTACCTTCAGTTCATTAAGATCGGAAGCATTAAAAACAGAAGACATTGTAAACAACATACTCGCCTTGTTGGCTCGTTGTAGAACAGTAGCATCTACGATTCATAAGAAATTCAGGTTCTAACACTTTCGATTGAAGGATACTCCGAGCTAAGCTGTTGGAAACATTTGAGCCTTCCCGCATAAACGTCTACGCTCGATCTGATCACGCATTGTCGCTGTTCCAGAGAATGAGGGACGAGAGCTTGCGAGTTCACTTTCCTCTCACACCGGAGAGATCGACCGGGGACGGGAGCGTTTCCAGTTTGGTATCGCCCAGAGTGTCCAGCACTACTTGTGCCTGATTGACGAGCCTCGACTGCGCGAAGGCGCCGTTGCGCGGATGACGATCTTGAGGGGAGGGTCCACAATTGAGCTCAACGGTAGTCAATGGAAGTCCAACACAGTCTTTGAAGACCTTTATTGGCTTCGCATTGACTGGGTTTTGTCCAGCGCTGGAAAGAAAGAATGCGTTTGATACTTGTTGGAACCATGTAACAGTGCCGTGTTTTTGGCAAACACACAACAATGGTTGGTTTCCTTCTTCCTTTTTTATGGCTTTTCAATTTCTTTTTCATCTTCTGTTCTTCATGTGCAACACAGTTACACTCCACCTGAACAACCTCCGGAAGGTCGTCACCGAGGTGGACGCGTACAAGACGCTCCACAAACTGCAGGGCGTGCAGATACCACGCCTCGTCTCGTGGGGTTTCTTGTGTGGGACAATGTTCGCCTACGTGATGACCAGCGATGAAGGTACACCTCTTACAGCGTGCCCTGCCCATGAGGCTCTTGCCACGATTCATGCCAGGGGTGTCATCCACGGGGACTTGTCGCCTCTCAAGATCCTCTTCGGAAGAGGAAGCTGCAGGAGCAGTAGCCAGTCTTCCTGGTTAAGATCATTTGGCTTGCCTCCTACGTCGGCCCCAAGGAGATCCATGTTGCTGCAGGGAGGGAGATCGCTAAGCTTCATCAATGTTTAGAGAAGGTCTTAGGAGGGCATGGCAGCGGTTCGCTTCCTACTCGCTTTGTGGAAGAGCTTGTCCATAAGTTCCCCAAGATTCGTGATCTTCTCAATGCATACGTACGTCCCTCTCCCTCTCCATCTCCCTCTCTCTCCCTCCCTCTCTCTTGAATTTCAGGTTGCCAACGAGTCACCCAAGATGGATGAAGCATCTGCTTCTCAGGCCGATTCGTAAGCTCACGTCTCTCCTCCTGCCATGTTCATGTCCGTGTTCATTCGTGTGTTCAGGTTGATTGACGACTTCATTGAGGTGCTGACGACCTGGTCGACACCCAAAGCTCATTGAAGAAGAGCCTCGCTTCCATGATCTTAAGATGTTCCTGGAGGCAACACAGGTGGAGTGTAACTGTGTTGCTTGAATGGAAGATGAAAAGCTTGTACCGCCTTAGAAGTGTAGTCACCCAAGCCACGTGGCATAGAATATCTGGCAGTGCTTCCTTGTCTCTCACCAACACAACCAGTTGCTCTTTATTTGCCAATGGTGGCCTCACGACACAAAAGAAGCACAGGCATGTGATCCAATATCAAAGTGCATTGCAAATGCCACACACAGACACACTCACTCCAAGGTATTCAAGACATTAAAAGAAACACATTCAAACAAAAGAACTCACATCCACAGAATGAAAGTCAATATGTTTGTAAACAAGGATAAATGAAAGGGTATAATTGCTTTCACTTTTTTTCATGCATTCTTACATAACTTTCAGGCATGCTTCCTCCTGGGACGTAGTTGGACTTGTTCAACGGTACTGTGGTGTTATCGTCTTTTTTTCTCTATTTCACTAAATATTCGATCACAAAACAACGCGCAGGAGATCCATAATCAATGTCTGATATCCCTGGAAATGTTCGGAACATAAAACGATTGCTAGATCATCCGTCATTCGATATGAAGAACCCGAACAAGGTTCTGTCTTTTTAGCAAAGGTTTCTCAGGAGCTACGGCTTTTCTTGGTGCCTTTGATCAGTCCTTTCTGCTGGACCACTGTTAACTTTCATGCTAAAAGATTGATTTGGTTACGAATTTTTGGTCGAGGAGACCAAAATGAATCTTCAGGTAACTCGCAAGCACACTTGTTTGTGTGCCTTAACCTTGCTCTCACAGGTGGCATTGCGAATGGTATCCTTTCTCGAGGCAGACAATCGCTGGCTAAGGTTGGAGAAGCAGTGTTTGTTTCCCAGATCTTTGCTCAATCACGTGTGTTGTGCTTCTAGGCCCGACTGGAACGCATTGCTAAACCCGATGTCCTGTCGGAGAATGTGTTTGAGATCGCCTCCAAGAGCCTGGCAGCGTAAAAAAGATCAAGGAGTTCGATCGCATTGACGTACTGTAAGCTCGTTCGTTCCATTCTTCTCAATAGATAAACAAGCTATTTGCTCGGGAAGAATTTCACTTTTTCAGGTGGAGCAAGCATTTGCCATAAGATTGTATACAGCAGGATGACGAGCTTCATCTCTCAGCTCCTCGAAAGCAACCTTTGCCACCTCAAAGTTCTTCCACTTTCTACAAGCCGCCAGAATGCTGGTCCATGCCACGCCAACGGAGAAGTCTCCGGGATCACCACTCGACATCCTCCTCGCAAGCTCCACAGCTTCATCCATCTTGTCCGCCCGGCTCAAGATATCCACCAAGCACGCGTAGTGCTCCATCCCGGGACGAACACCATACCGGCACTCCATCACCTGGAAGATCCTCCGGCCTTGATCAACAAGACCACCACCGCTGAGAGCCGCGAGAACCGAGACAAGGCTACTCGCATTCGGCCGCAAGCCTTCGCCCGCGGCCCTGTGGAACATCTCGAGCACCAGTTTGCTATCACCTCGGCGACCATACCCAGCCAACAGCGCGTTCCAGGCCACCATTCCCAGCTGCGAGCTTGCATCAAAAGCGCAGCGAGCATCGACCATGCTGCCACACTTCCCGTAGAAGTCGACGAGAGAGACCACCACCCCCGGGTCGACTTCCAGGCCGTGTCGACATGCATCGCCATGGACGCTCTTCCCCGTCTCGAGCAGCGCCGCCGGGCCACTCGCGCAAGCTTTGATCGCCGCGGACAGAGCAGCAGCGTCCACTGCGAGAGCAAAGGACAAGTCAACTTTCATCCGAGAGAACAAAGATAGCGCGAGCTGCGACTCACCGGCGTCGGCACAGGCGACGATGAGCGAAGTCCACAGCACTGGATCGCGCTGCTCGATCCGATCGAAGACTCTCCTTCCCTCGATCAAGCTCCCGGATTTGGAGTAGCAGTCGACGAGGCTGCTCGCCACCCGGGGATTCAAGTCGAAGCCACGCTCGGACGCTTGCGAGTGGAGCGAGGCCGTGCTCCTCCGCAAGACGAGCAAGTTGGGCTTGATCTCCAGGTTCCTCTCGATCGATGCTAGACTCGCCAAGGCCTTGAGCGGAGGAACGAAGGATCCAGCGTCTAGACCACAGCCCTCGAGCTGCATGAAGTGGAAGAGCACCAGCACCAAGCCGGCTTGCTCGTTCTCGCAGTAGCCCAGCATCAACGAGTTCCAGAACACCGCGTTGTGGACGGCTACTCGATCGAAAACTCTCCTCGCGTCGAGCAAGCTGCCACACTTGGCGTACATGTCCACCAGCGTAGACGCCACGAACACGTCGAGCTCGCAGCCATTCCTCGCGGCTTGAGCGTGGACGGCCATTCCCTGCTCGAGCGCCATAGATTTGAGCTTGAGATCACCGTGAGCTTCTTCCGAGCTTGCGAGACGAGCACAGGCCTTAAGCGCGGCAACAAACGCGAGAGCATCGGAAGATCCAGCTCCCTGCCGCTGTTGCATCCGCGCGAAGAGTTCCAGCGCCAGCTCGGGTTGCCCGTTTTCGGCATACCCGAGTATGAGCGCGCTCCACGAGACCACGTCCGGCTGGAAGATCTTGTCAAACACTCGCCGAGCGTCCACCATCTTGCCACACTTGGCGTAGAGATTCACCAGTGAGGCCGCTACGTAAACGTTGGAGTCGCAGCCGGTAGCTCCAGCTCGACAATGGATCTCCATCCCTCTCTCGAAAGCTTTCTCTCGATCGAGCTTTCCCAGGCTGGCGACGCAAGCCTTGATCGCAGCAACGTAAGTTCTGGCGTCCGCTACGTAGCCCCGAGTTCTCATCGTCTCGAAGAACTCCAGCGCCACCTCTTCCTCGCCGTTGTCGCAGTAGCCGAGCATCACCGCGTTCCAGGACACGACGTCGTGCTGTGGCATCCTCTCGAAAACCATCCGGCAGTGATCCTGGCCGCCACACTTCCCATACAGATCCATCACCGAGTTTGCGAGAAGAACGTCCCACTCGCAAGACGAAGAACTCGCAGCTTGAGTGTGGAGGGCGATGGCTCTCTCGAGAAACCTGTGAGATTCTTTGGCCTTCGCTGCGAGCCCAGCCAAGGCCTTGAAAGCTGCCTGGAACGTCCGAGCATCCGGCTCGCAGCCTCGGCTAGTCATGGAGGAGAACAAACCGAGCGCGTTCTCTTCGCGTCCATTCTCGGCATAGCCGTGGATGAGATCCGTCCAGGAGAACACACTGTGCCATGGCATTCTCTCGAAGATCATCCGTGCTTCATCCAAGTTTTTCGATCTCTTTCCACCATTCTTCACTTCATCCAACCTTTTTGATCTCGTTCCACCACTTCCACCATTCTTCGCTTCATCCAAGTTCTTTGATCTCGCTCCACCACTTCCACCACTCTTCGCTTCTTCCAAGTTCCTTGATCTCGTTCCACCACTTCCCCCATTCATTCCACTTCCACCATTCTTGGCATAGCCCAGGATCAAGGAGTTCCAAGACACGGCACTGCGATGATCCATCCTGTCGAATGCTCGTCGCGCTTCCGGCAAGCTCCCACACTTGGAGTACATGTGGATGAGCGCGTTTGCTACGTAGAGATTGGAGTCGTCTCCACTGTGGACGATCTCGGCATGGATCCTCCTGCCCCTGTCTAGATCCCCACATCGGCCACATTCCTTGAGTTCTTCGAGAAAGACCAAAATTTTGGTCTTTAGCTTTGTGGATGATGCGCCATTTCTCCCGAGAGGAGCGCCATGCATAGAAGAAGGAGAAGAACCTGGAGATTCGCTCCTCGACGCAAGAGATTCATGGAGTAGCAGCGCCTTCTCCGCCTCTCTCGGAAGAACCCTAAAAGATGGAGCTCAATTTCAAATTTTTTGAAGAACCCTAAAACTCGGCTACCTAGGGTTTAGGCGGGAGCGACTAGCTATGGCGCTGGAGATCGAAGCACGAGAGTAAGCGCTTCCCTTGTAAATGCCGATTCTCTGAGCGCTGCCGCATTCTCCAGCGTGATCAAGGTGATGCTCCAGTTTTGCAAGGAGAATTCCCTCCACCAGACCTTCCAGACGATCCAGAACGAGTGCCAGGTCTCGCTCAACAGTGTGGAGAACTACGATGCGTTTGTGTCCGACATGAACGATGGCCGCTGGGACGCTGTCTTGCCTCAAGTCGCGCAGCTTAAGCTTCCAAAGAAAAAACTGGAGGATTTATACGAGCAGGTATTTTTGCTTGTTCTCTGGAGAATTTTTATGTTTCTTCTTCTCTTTTTCTCTCTAGGTGGTTCTAGAGATGATTGAAGTGAGAGAGCTCGATACCGCGAGGGCGATTTTGAGGCAGACCCAGGCAATGGATTACATGAAGCAAGAACAGCCTGAGCGGTACCTTCGTTTAGAGCATCTCCTTGTGAGGACATACTTCGATGCTCGAGAGGTAGTTGTTTTCCTTGTCTCATGGTTCTTTTCCACTACATTTTTTCGTGGACCAGGTATATCAGGATTCTTCCAAGGAGAAACGAAGGAGTCAAATTGCTCAAGCTATAGCTGCCGAAGTCGAGGTGGTGCCACCGTCGAGATTAATGTCGCTCATTGGCCAGGCTCTCAAGTGGCAACAGCATCAAGGTCTTTTGTTTAAGTTTTTTCATGCGTTCTGACATTCTAAACTTTCAGGCATGCTTCCTCCTGGGACGCAGTTCGACTTGTTCAAGGGTACTGCCGCTGCGAAGGCTGATATAGAAGAAACTTATCCAACGACGTTGCAACACTCCATCAAGGTTCTCAAACTAGAAAAGCTTTTATTTTCTTTTTCTTTTCTGTTTTTTATAATCTGAATTTTTTTATGACAGTTTGGGAAGCAAAATTGCGAGTGTGCTTGTTTCTCTCCTGATGGACAATTTTTGGTTTCATCCTCCGTTGATGGCTTCATAGAGGTTCGATTTTTTTTATCGTGATTGCCAGGCTCTTACTTCAGCGTTTTTTTTTTTTCCAGGTCTGGGATTATATCACTGGAAAGTTGAAAAAGGACCTGCAGTATCAAGCGGAGGACTCGTTTATGATGCATGAAGATGCAGTTTTGACGGTTGCCGTGAGCCGCGACTCTGAAATGCTTGCCTCTGGTGCTCAAGATGGAAAAATCAAGGTGAGTATAGAATGTCCAAGCTTGACTTGTGTTATCACTACAGTTTTATTGCAGGTTTGGAGGATACGAACAGGCCAATGCCTGAAACGTTTTGACAAAGCGCATGGGATGGGCGTGACAACGGTTTCGTTCTCAAGGGACAACAGCCAGATTCTTAGTGCCTCGTTCGATGAAACTGCGAGGTCAACTTACAGAGTTTTAGACTGTTTATTTTTAATTTTTTTTGTGCGCTCTCACATGCGGCAATTATTTGCAGGATTCATGGACTCAAGTCTGGGAAGCAATTAAAAGAGTTTCGCGGTCACACTTCCTATGTCAACGACGCCATCTTTGCAACGGAAGTGAATCGAATTATTACAGCCTCGAGCGACGGCACTGTCAAGGTGGGTGGTGCTTTCTACATTATGAGATATCCCTCTCTCGTTTATTTTTGATATCTGGTTTGATTATAATGCAGGTGTGGGACATGAGAACCACTGACTGCTTACAAACGTTGAAACCTCCCCCACCTTTGAGGGTAAGGAAGAGAAAGTTTTTTTTTTCTCTGCTCAAACACTTTTGACATTTTGGTGGTGTTGTAGGGAGGGGACGCTGCTATCAACTCCGTGCATCTACTTCCAAAAAGCCCAGAACACATCGTCGTTTGCAGCAGATCGTCGTCTATATACGTGATGACTTTGCAAGGCCAGGTGCATTTCTCCTTTTCTTTGTGCCTGATTTTTCCCTTCCGGCTTTGCATTGGCAGGTTGTCAAGAGCTTCTCGTCTGGCAAAAGAGAGGGTGGCGATTTCGTCGCGGCCTGCGTCTCGCCAAAAGGAGACTGGATTTATTGCGTTGGAGAAGACATGTAAACTACACAAGTCACACTCCTCACAGCTGTGGTATTAATGCTCCTTTTTTCTCCTTTTTCCCTGTGCAGGAATGTCTACTGCTTTAGCAATCAAGCAGGGAAGCTGGAGCATCTCTTAAAGGTGAGACTTGCAAAAACACTCTTCCACCTGGAGAGCTCGTCTGGTTCCTGACAGTCCTAATGAACAGGCACACGACAAGGACATTATCGGGATCAGCCACCACCCGCATCGAAACCTCCTCGTCACGTACAGTTTGGATTCAACGATGAAGCTCTGGAGGCCGTGACGAGCGAAACGAGAAGGAAAGGCCATGAAAAGATCCATTCGAGGCGAGACGAGACGGGAGAGAAGCTAACGAGAATTCGCTACGCTCGCGACAAGAGAGAAGCTGTTATCAACAACTGTGTATGTAGATTACAAGACAATCTCTTTACAGTACCGGGTAAGCACCTTTGTGCCTTTCTTTCCTTTTTCTTTTCTTCGCTATCTTTTCTCATGCCTGCGTTTCCCTGTTGACAATAGAAATAGCAGCACTAGCATTTTTCTCACGTACCTTGCATTCAGTGTAATGGAACTCGATTTGCAGCCGCCGGTGGAGATGGTCCTTTCCAACCAGCCCCTTTTTCACGTCGCTCTGCAATTGCCCCAGTGGAATCGCCGCCAGAAAGCCTTTGACAAACTCCTTGCACGCGTTCCTTCCGGAGAACTCCCTCATCTTCCTCTCGCTATTCTCCGCTTCCTCGCTAGCCTGTTCTTCCTGCTTTGCTTCCTCGGACTCCTTTTGAGAATCATCCTTCTTTGCTGCTGCTGCTGCTGCTGCTGCCTCTTCTTTCTTTCCATCGTCGCTCTCTCTGTCGCTGCCACTGCCGCTGCTACTTCCTTGCTCCTGTTTTGGAGCCGCTGCCTCCGCCGGTGGCACAAAGGACAGCCGCGCTGCCTCGTTGAACTTGAGAACGTACGCCTGATCGCACCCCTCGAACAGCCGCTCCCCCAGCGTGTCGATGATGTGCACGCTCTGCTCGTCAACTTTGACGACGAAGAAGTGGTCGTTCCAGCTGACAATGTACACCGCCGGCCCGGACCGCTCCACCTCGTCCCAGATGTTGTCGAAGGACATGGCCCCCTCGAGGAACTCGCTCGACTCCCCCAGCCCTTCCGGCCGGAAGAACCCCACGAACGACTTCTCCGGGACGACCGTCAGCGGCCGGACCGCCGCCTCGATCACGGTCTCCAGATCAAAATGCCCATCCGGGAAGCGGTCCTTGTAGGTGGCGTCCTGGCACAGCTTCCTCCACTCGGCCGAGCCTTCGCGTATCAGCAGATCAAACTCGGCTCGGCTTGGCATGAACGCCGGGAACCTGTGGAGCCAGTCGGCTATAACGGCAACCAGAGCGGTGCACGCGCTTTCGCCGGCTGCGCTCTCGCTTCTCTGATCGATGGACGCAAAGAAGACGCTGGCCGAGAGCATCATCTGCCCGTCTCGGCTCGTCAGCTCTTTCGCTTCCCAGCTGCCTACTTGAAACGTCTCGCCAAAATCCCAGGTTCCTTCGATGGCCGTCTTCTTCTCGTTGTTTAGTCGGAGCTGGAAGAAGGTTCACATGTTAGCACGTGAAACAGATAGAAAAGAAAAAGGAGATATTAAAGGAAACACACTTACCATGCTTCCAAGAGACTCTTCTGGTGACTCGGCTTGCCTTCGGTCCCAGTCGATTTCATCACCTCCATTGTCACCGTATGCCTTGTTGAGAAGTGGCTCGCCTCGCCTGGCCCGCGGGGATCGGAAGCTCAGCTTTCTCTTCCTCCACGACAACATCCTTCTCATGGACGACTGAGACGCCGCCTGGTCTGAATCCGACGATGAAGTTTCCTCCGCCAGCTTTAGCGCTGTCCCGCCATTGAACACCAAAACTTCCTCGTCATTCGACGCCCTCTGATCGTGGCTCTTTCCTATCAGCTGGTTGGCCCCCGCGATTCTTCCATAGCGGAAAGAAGTGAATTCCTCGTCATCGACAGCGTCACTGTCCTCAAAGTTGTCAACAGAATCGGATTCGAAGCGATCGGGGGAATCCTGCGAGCTCTCGTCACTTGTTCTGATGTCGATGGCAGCGTCCTCCACCCGCGACTTCTTCGTACGCAGCATCGGTTTATCTCCGCCATCCCCCAAGTCATCCCTCTCCCACAGCGAGATGCATGGGATCGCCGGTGCCATGATCCTAAAGTTGGTCTCCACAGCTTCCGGGACTTCCTCAAAGCTCAAAGTGACCTGCGACATGCACAGCTCTTGTCAGCTAGGCTGCACGAGACAAAGCTTTTCCTAACAAGCACAAACTTACACCAATCGCTTCCTCACTTTCGCCCCCCAAAATGGAAACTTTCGTTCTATGTCGTGCACTCCCAGCTAGAGGAGCAAACTCCCCAAGATTCAGATATCCCGAGCCAAAGACTGACGCCTTGGCCTTGGCCCCATTAAGAGTGATCTACAAAATTCGAATCGTCAGTCTCGAGAGAGAAGAGAGAGAGAGAGAGAGAGAGAATTAAAAACCAAAGATTTCTTTACCTTGCGCACGACCAGGTAAACGTCCCATGGGTAGAACCCATTCTCCTTGGCAAGAGCCAGAGTACACTCGCAGTCAAATCCTTGCTCCCACTCCAGCGCTCCGTCCATGGTAGCAGCAGCTTCGGCGCTTCGCTCCCTCTTCACGCTCCGGAAACGAGGCCCCAACGATCGTTTCGGCCCCTTCCACTTGACATCCACCACGAATTTCGAATCGTCGGCCGCCAGCAGCTTGTCCATCCCGTGCAGCACCATTGTCACATAGAACTTTTTCGTCATGAGCGACCGCAGCGGCCATCTCATGACCTTCATCATCCTCACGGAGACTGTCATCCAAAAATCCCCCCCAAAAGATCTAAAGCCGGCCGAGAAGAAAAAACGAAACCCTCTCTAAGCTCCTCGCTAGCGCCGGACTGGCTCCTCGATCCCTCCCTCCCAGCATGAAATTTCCGGCGCCACAACTTGCATTACTCGCATGCACTGGAAATCCGCGTGTTCTAGCACCTGGATTTTCCCGAGCGCGCAAGATTTCCTGCAAACCTCGCGATGCCGGCAAAACAAGAGGCGCCTGGCAAGGATTTACAGCCAGCGCCACTCCGCGGACGAGCAATCCCTAGCTTGATCATCACTTACTCTCTCCCTGGGAAGAACGCGGACGGGCGGAAACCCCACGGCAGCTAAAACACACACACAGACGCGGTTTTGGGCCACTTGTACGGCTGGCCCATGGTGCCCAAGTACAGCGGTATTAAAAGCCGGATTTGATATCCCGTTTGGAATCCGGCTGGTCTTTCCCATTTGTTTGGGAGGCTTGTCTTTACCTTTAGGGCTTGACAGGTTGTGTTGTGGGTGGGCAATCGCTGGAACAGTAATTTCTACGCGAGACATGGAATATCCCTAGAGCCCACCGAAAGAGCGCCTAATTTCTAAACACTAGGATGGATGCATGAAAAAGAAATAAAAAATGTGGCCCCGAATGTCCATATCGTGCATTTCCCAATCAAATACTGGCGCGAAAAAGAAGAGGATCCACGGGAGAGTGAATCCTGGCCGTCCACCGGATCTGACAGCTCGATCGCCCCGCGGGCGGACGTACACGTGGCGGTCGCCCATTGTGTCCCGGGGAACAATCATAACGAACAATGGGAGGGAGGAAAAGTCCCCCGCGCGATTCGCCGCATATGCCAAGAAGGGGGAGAGAGTCTTGGATGCTTTGATCCGGTGCGAATCTTTTGATTTTGTGTAGAGATTTTGCGCTCTTCCCCATTGTCAAAAAGCCAAGCTGAGTCTCGATTTGAGAAAGTCCTCCCCCCCTGCCCCAATAATGGAGATTCCGGAACCATGAAGCGCCACTAGAAATGCCTTGTAGCAAGAGCTCTATCAAAGGCTAGAAAAAAAAAAACCAGAAAAAAACTTGGACCACCAATAAATCTCTATCAATTTCTTCGCCTCTTTTTCTCTTGCGTCCACCCAAATGCATTGCATTCTCGTCAAGATCGATGCAATGATTCAAAATCGCACAAAAAGGAGCGTGGACTCTATGAGCAACAAAAACCTTTAACAAAAGAAATGAAAAAGTCAAAAATACGAATATGCCCCGCCATAAAGTATATTCTAGAAACTGCTTTTTAAAAGGCCTCCCCGAATATGCCTCGGCACAGAAGCATATTCTAGAATATTCCTCCCGTCCCAG